GTGTAATTACGTAGTCTAAGAGGTGCCAATGTCAAAACCGGGGGTGCTTCCATGATGCCTTGAACTTGTTTTTCTGGCGGAAGAGCGTGTTGGTGATGACAAGGTTGTGTTCCGCACATTTGGTGAGAAGCAGGATGCCATTCGAGTTGCTGTTTCCAACCCCGTCTTTTCCTATGGTCCCTGGCCACAGGTCGAAGTCTCGCCCGACTCTTGCATTAAAGTCCCCCAGGAGGATGATTTTGTCCTCCTTAGGTATCTCCGATAGGATGGTATCCAGCTGACAGTAAAAATTGTCCTTGATGTCTTCATCAGCATCTAGTGTTGGTGCATAGGCACTTATGATGGTTGCCTGTTGGTTTTTGGCAAGATCAATTCGGAGGGTTGAGAGTCGTTCGTTGATGCTATTGGGTGCTTCGGTCAGATGTTTCACCAGATCATTTTTGATAGCAAAGCCAACTCCATGCATTCTTCAGTCTTCTTCGGGCAGTCCCTTCCAGATGAAGGTGTAGCCTCTTTTTCCTTCTTTCAGCTGTCCCTCTCCTGCTCTCCCGGTCTCCTGGAGGGCTGCTATGTCGATGTTAAAGCATCCCAACTCCCTTGCAATGATAGCAGTTCTGCGTTCGGGGCGTTCACTGTCCGTGTTGTCCATCAGTGTCCGTACGTTTCATGTTCCGAAGTTCATTTTTCTTTTTTGGCCACAGTATGGTGACCCCACTGGACGCGGCAATCCAGTCAGGGGTAAGAGAGGCAGACTATGTTTAGGGCACCCTTTCTAGCCCCTTCCCCGTGTGGGGTGAGCAGAGTGGATAGGGCTGCTCAGTCGTGGATACAGCTGCCAAACTACTCAACTGCCTCGGACCTTGAAGTAGAACGACTGAGTCCGTACCCACCACCCATGTGCCAGTCTGTGACTTGGAGCTTCCAGATTTCACAGTCCTGCCCCTGTCGCCACTCGCTGATCGCCATGGGACTTTGGTTGGTTTGTTTTTCTTTTCTTTGGAAGACGCCTGTGCGTGAGTTTTTTTAATGTGTGGAGGTCAGTGCACACTGATCAACACACAGTCTTCACAGAGTGAGGTTCCACTGGTGGTGTAGTTTAACACAATGACCATGGCTTCTCAGTCTGTTGCAGCCTTCTTCCGCCTTCACAGCCGTTGTAACATGTACCATGTTATCCTCCGCCTGCTCCGCCGTTGAGGTCTTTGGGTCTTCGGGCTGTGCTTGGTCTGGAACCTCCCCCGCGGCCACTCCTGGGCATGCACGACTCCAGTAGTTGTGCCCACAGGTTCATTGGAACATGCAAGCCCCCTCACCACGACAATGTGACAGTCCATCGAGGGGGTCAGGGATGTTAAGGCATACATAACAAAATAATTTTCTAACTTTCCAACTGAGTGTGTGCCTTCAAGTTGCCTGTTGCCTCGTGGAGCCCCGTGTATGTCATTCAGGTTCCCTCTACACTGCCATATAATCCACAGCCCATACTGCCATATTATCCAGTTCAATCCAGATAATCTGGATTGTCTATGGCAGTCTAGAAGGGGCCACCATTTTGTTTTAGCCAAGGAATTCTCAGAGGCTGTTTTGTTAATTTCTTCCTCTGAAATACAGTCTATAGCAGTGGTTCTCAACCTGGGGTCCCCAGATGTTTTTGGCCTTCAACTCCCAGAAATCCTAACAGCTGCTAAACTGGCTGGGATTTCTGGGAATTGTAGGCCAAAAACATCTGGGGACCCCAGGTTGAGAACCGCTGGTCTATAGCAATGGGTATTAATTGGCTCCTACCATCAATTACTCATTAGAGCAACCCTGCTTAGCTTCCAAGATCCAATGGGATCTGGTGCCATCAGGGCATTTACACCATCTATTAAAATGTCCAGGGCCTTGTCTGGAGATGCTGGGATCAAATATCCAAGACTTTCTTTGCAAAGGATACGTCTAGTCCAGGCATGGGCAATCTTGTGTTTTGGACGTCAACTCCCACCATTCCTCACAGCCTTAGGGCCCTTCCTTTTCTTTTTCCCTTTCCTTTTCCGCCTAAGCGGCTGAGGGGGAAAAAGAAGGGGCCTGAGGTTGTGTGGAATGGTGGAAGTTGGAGTCCAAAGCACTTGGAGAGAAGGAGGGCCAAATTTGGCCCAGGCCTGGTCTAGTCCAAGGCTGGTCTAGAACATTGGTATTGGAATTTTTGAATTTCATAGGTAGAACAGAACATACTTTCTCCGTTGGCACTTTTGGTTTTTGATTTGTTGCCCAGGCAGCCACCCCTGCCTGAGCTGCTCTTCAGTGGTGAACCTCAAGGATGTAAACTTTCACCGGCAGTTTCATGCTTGTTCTACTGGGCTGATTTTGGCCCCAACACAACAATGTTACACTTGAGCCAACTGGCTTGCTTTGTGCAGGAGTGGATAGTGCACAAGACAGATCTTGACCCAATAAAAATAATAATAAAATGTGAAGTAGTAATTTGCGGTAAATAAAATGTGGCCGGCATAACACTTTAGAGTGCTGACATCAACTAATGGACTCATAGGGCCATTAGTGACTTTTGGAATGGAACGGGTGATTTGGGAGCCTATTAGCCTTTTGGGATAGTGCTCCAGTCTGTGGCGCACGGGCCTATTACCGTTAATATTTTATGGAGCCACCTCTTGGCCATCCTTCCTGTGAGTCATCCTCACCAGGAATCCAGAGGCCTTTTGGGCTTGTTACTCCTTTAGTGTATTTAGAGAGAGGCAGACGTGAAATATTGCTGATGAAGTGTTTGCTGTGCCAGGCAGGCAAGCAAGCAAACAAGCAAGCAAGCAAGAAAGAGCTCTCTCAGTTTTGGCTCCATGGGCCCAGAAGTAGCATAAACATGTGTATTCGTCATATGGCCACGGGGCTCTCAGTTCTGAACAGCTATTTAGGCAGGACTCTGATTAATGGACTATTGAAGTTAAGCCATTAACTCTGAACTGGGGCTAATTGGTTGAGCTGTTTAATTGCTCGTTGGGTTGCCTGGCAGGAACAGAATGATGAGTGAGATCTGGCTCACCTCCAAAGGACGGGCTTTTAGCTTAGAGAAAGGCTAGTTACTTACTGGCAGAAGAGGCTCTAATATCCAGGTTAAGCCACAAGGCGGAGGTCTCATCTTCACTAGCAACATGAAAAAAAGGAAATGGGATCAGCTTTGAATCAAGAGCCATTGGCACACATGATGGATGGCCATTTTGACAGTGAGAATGCTTCTTTCAAGCTTTGCTGTGATAAAAAAAAATGTAGTTTTTACCCCACAGTTTTGGGAAAATCTGGTCTTTTTTACCATTGTGTCCATCAGGATCGGTTGGCGTTGTCTGCTCTTCCCAGGACTGCTCCTGCTCTCCTCATGGGGAGGAAGGGGAACATGAGCCAGGAATGTCATGCGGCAGCTAAAAAAGCCAATGGGATTTTGGCTTGCGTCAATAGGAGTCTAGTGCCTAGATCCAGGGAAGTCATGCTCCCCATGCTCTATTCTATTCAGACCACACCTGGAATCACACTGCATCCAATTCTGGGTACTGCAGTTGAAGGAAGTGTTGACTCTAAGCTGGAATGTATCCAGAGGAAGAGGCTGACTCAAAGGTCTGGAGAACAAGTTCTATGAGGACAGAGTGGCTTCAAGAGCTGGGCATGTTTAGCCTGAGGAAGAGAAGGCTGAGAGGAGATAAGATGAGGGCCATAGATCAAGATGTGAGGCCGGTGAAGTCATAGGGAGGAGGGAGCAGGATTCCTTTCTGCTGCTCTGGTGACTAGGACACAATGGCACAATGACTTCAAACTATAGGAAAGAAAGGAGATTCCAGCTGAACATTAGGAAGAGCTTCCTCCCTGTGAGAGCTGTCCAGCAGTGGAACTCTGTCCTGAAGTGTGGTGGAGGCTCCTTCTTTGGAGGTTTTGGAACAGAGGTTGGATGACCATTTGTTGGGGGTGCTTTGAATGTGATTTTCCTGCTTCTTGGCAGAATGTGGTTGGACTGGATGGCTCACCAGGTATCTTCTAACTCTAGGATTCTATGATTCTATCCTCTGCTCCACTTTTCAGCTGCCATTCTGTTTGCCACAGTTCTTCTCTGGAGTTTGATACCTGTCTTCTCAAGGAAGAGGAGTGTAATTGCCACTCCTCTCCTTTGACCCAAAGGCCAAATTTCTGCAGTAGACAAAGGATAGAATCTACACATACAATCACTTGTACATTTGTGGCAGAGGGACAACATCCTATGTTTGAATTAGGAAGATTGTCAAAGGGGGGGGGGGAGACAATTCTATAGACACAAATCTTGTTTGATCTTGGAAGATAAACATGGTCACCCCTGGTTAGTATTTGGGTGGGAGACTATCAATGAATACTAGGTACTCTTGTTGAAGACTTTCAACAACCACACCTGGAATCACTGGGATGCTGTGAGGTTTTTTGGGCTGCTTGGCCATGTTCCAGCAGCATTCTCCTCTGATGTTTCGCCTGCATCAGTGGCTAATGGCATCTTCAGAGGTTCAGTTGGTAGTGAAGCAAGTGGAGTGTATATAATTATATCTGTGGAATAATGTCCAGGGTAGGAGAAAGAACCCTTGTCTGTTTAAAGCAAGTGTGAACATTGCAGTTAGCAAGCTTGAATAATATTAAGTAGCCATGAAGCTGCGAAGTCAATCAGTGAGAGTATCTGCATAGGGGTGGCCTGGCTTCTGTTGCCTAGAATCCTCTATGTTGAGTATGTGTGCTAGGTGTAGTTGAGATTCACCATCGGTTGGGTTCAGATTGCTCTCTGCACATGAATAAACTACAACTCCCAACATCGTGGGTCATTTCCTCCCACACTTTGCTTTGTGAATATACAGAGATCTGCTTCAGGGATGCCATATCAATTTGTGTTGCATGGTATCATTATTTTAGGAGCAAATACCTGGCGATATGTAATTACTTAAAATAGAATGAATGCAAACTGCAGTAACTCTGTCTGTTCCTCTTTCTGGCTAATGTCATTTCAGACGGCGAGTGGTCAATTTCCCAAGCCATACGAACACAGAAGTGGAAGAAGACAGAGACAAAGGCAGAAATGGCTTTTTCATTCCAAGTCAAACAAAAAGATGATTACAAGATGAGCACGGGAGTATCAAGTTTGCAAATGTTTGCTTGAGAAAAGAATCAGAGACACTTGGAAGATTGCTTCTTGCCTTTGAAAACTTGTCACTGACAATGACACTGACATGGCCTGGTTGAAGGTCTTGACAAAATTCACCCAGAAAATACCTGGACTGCAAAAATGGGGCAGTTTCCCCAGTTTGGAGGAGTTTGTCCTGTCTTGACTGTGTGAATTCCATTGATCCTCTTTAGGTTTTGTTTGTCTTCTAAGTAACTACTTTGAAACCTTGAGTTCACAACAGTACTTTGTAAGCTCCAGCAAATGCAGGGAAAGCAGAAGAATGACTGAGGAGTCGTTAACTGATTGCAAATGAAGCCTATCAAGGCCTCACCAAGATAGAACTGCCTGCATCTTTGCTAGGGTCATGGATCCTGATCAAGGACAGAAGAGCACAAAAAAGGGCGAGGAAGGTCTGAGGAAGAGGCTTGTGAAGGGAGAGGCATTCCAAGGCAGTGTTTCCTCTGCGGCAACGCATCACCTGAGCCACTCCGCTTCTTTGCAAGGCTCCCCTGTTCAGGACGTTGTGCCTCAGCAACATTTTTCAAAGGATGAAGCCCTAGAGAAAACGGGACAAACACAACCCAAACATTCCTCTTTTGAGCCTCTGGCACATATTGCCCAGCACTCTCTGTCATCAGCATACATGCCTCCCCGGAAACCGGAGCATGCCCTAGAAGGGCCCACGTGGCAGCTCGTTGAACCCACTAGAGTGGTGCCCTCTGGCTCATTCCCATACTCTGGGCCTCATTCCAGCCACAGTCAGATCTTAGCGCCCCAGTCTTCTGTCATTCCCAAAGAGGATGCGTCTTCTGCCCAAAAGGTCTATGCTTCTCGCATGTCGCAGGTTTCCTTAAAATCACCTGAAGAAGGCCACAAGAAAGAAAAGAAACCCCAGAAACCAGGCAAATACATCTGTCAGTACTGTAGCCGCCCTTGTGCCAAACCAAGCGTCCTCCAGAAACATATCCGATCTCATACAGGAGAGAGACCTTATCCCTGCATCCCATGTGGATTTTCCTTTAAAACCAAGAGCAATTTGTATAAACACCGGAAATCTCATGCTCACCGAATCAAAGCCGGGCTTTCCACAGGGCCTGGAACAGAACTGAATCCTTCCAGCCTGGAAATGGAAAAAATGGCTGGAGATGAATTTGAAGAGCCTACCGAGGGGGAAAGCACAGATTCTGAAGAGGAGACGAGAACCACGCCTGGCCCTTCAATAGAACTGTCTCCCAGACAAAAGCAAACTCTGTTGTATGGCTCAGGAAGCCAGGGCTCCAGTCAAGAGAGCGGCTCCTTCTCCCATTCTAGCCTTTCTCAGTCTCTTGAGGAGAGCGGTCATTTTGTAGAGCCGGCTTTGGAGAAAACCCAGAGTCACAAATCAGATGAAACACACACCATCAAACAGAAACTTGCTCTGCGATTAAGCGAAAGGAAGAAAGTTATTGAGGAACAGTCTTTCCTTACCCCTGGCAGCAAAGGAAGCACGGAATCAGGCTATTTCTCAAGGTCAGAGAGTACAGAGCAACAAATCAGCCCACCAAATACCAATGCAAAATCTTATGCAGAAATTATTTTTGGCAAATGTGGAAGGATTGGCCAACGGACCACCATGTTAGCTGCAGCCACCACCCAGGAATTTCCACAGGTAACAACTGAAGAAAAGATCAGCACTGTTCCTTTGTCTGTACCCAGAACACAGGTGATTGAACATATCACCAAACTGATTACAATTAACGAAGCTGTTGTTGATACCAGTGAGATTGATAGTGTTAAGCCTAGGAGAAGTTCTCTGTCCAGACGAAGCAGTATCGAATCTCCCAAGTCAGGTGCCTACAGAGAACCTTTTCAGTTAGAAATCAAACCTGGTAGCCAAGCTGATCCCTCAAAGTTGCTGACATCCCATGTTGAAAAACCAAAACCTGAACAATCCCCACTGTCGCTGCAGCAATCCCACAGTGCCACAGATACCATGCCTCTCCTTAGAAGCCATTCTATGCCTTCAGCAGTGCGTACTATGGGTTCTCCCCATGCCTTTAGAGGCAGTTATTCTTTTGATGACCACATCCGTGAATCAGAGGCCATAAGCCGCAGCCAGGTGTCTTCCCATCCACGAATGTTAAAACGGCAGCCTGCCATTGAACTTCCATTTGGGATGGAGTACAGTGCGGAGGACGTTAGTGCAGCCTGTAGGGAAGGTGTTTCCAAACCTGTGGAGGAACAAGAAGCCAAGGAAAGCGAGTTTCCCAAAAAGTCAAGAAAAGGCACAAAAACAAAAGGGTTCATGTATGAGTGTACAATTTGTGGTGCTCGGTACAAGAAAAGGGAAAATTATGAAGCTCACAAGAAGTATTATTGTTCAGAGCTTCAGATCCCAAAGCCACATTCTTCCAGTTCTCATACCTCGTTGGAAGCTGAGAGAGGCCTCATGGAATCTGATCCTTGGCCACAGATGATGCATTATACATTGGGAAGTAGTTTAGAGCTTACATCGCTGAGGAAGAGGCGTAAAGAAAAGAGTCTTGGAGATGAGGAGGACCCTACCCCTTTTGAATTGGCCGGAACGCCCTCTCCTGGCACCGGAGCAGCTGCTCCATTTGCGAATTTGAAATCCACTGGTGTGACTTTCACTCTGACTCCTGGATCCATGAAGCCACACACAGATTCCAGTCAGTCGGTGCATCTTTCTGATGCTAGTGGAAGTTTTAATCCCATGGCTGCAAGGCCATTTGTTAGTACAGAAAGCAGGGAAAGGAGACTCGCAAAGGAGATCTCTGTTATCCAACACACAAGCTCATTTGAGAAATCGGATTCCATAGAGCAGGTGAGTGGATTAGAAGAGGAGGAGAAATTGCTCTTGCCATATGCATCTCAGCCAGAAGCCCAACACAGCAGGCTGTCTCATTCCTTGCAACCTAAACTGGTGCGCCAGCCCAATATCCAAGTCCCTGAGATCCTTGTCACTGAAGAGCCCGACAGGCCAGAAATGGAACCTGAGCCTCCTCCTAAAGAGCCAGAAAAAACAGAGGAGTTCCAGTGGCCACAGAGAAGCCAGTCTCTCTCCCAGCTTCCTGCTGAAAAACTGCCACCCAAAAAGAAGAGGCTCCGGCTTGCAGAAATGGCCCAGTCTTCGGGAGAGTCCAGTTTTGAGTCAATCAGGAGCCCAAGTCAGGAAAGCAGCCTCTCCTACACGTCCAGCCATGCGACATCATTTGAACGAGAGGAAGCCACTTCCCAGTCTTCTGAATCCCACACACAGCCTCCTGGCATTGGCTCATATACATTAAAAGTACCCAGTCCCCACCATTCCCGGGAGATGCGGAGGTCTGCCTCTGAGCAGACACCCAATGTTTCTCACTCTGCTTCCATGTCAGAGACTCGCAGCAAATCATTTGACTATGGGAGCCTATCATCCTCAGCTTCTTCCAGATCCTATCCTCAAACAACAGCACCACCGGAGAGGAGGAAGTGTTTTCTTGTTCGGCAGGCGTCTCTGACTAGGCATTCTGAATATGAACAAGAGTCCTCTCCCAAAGGAGGGGCAGAGACTGAAGAGTTGTTGCAGCTTTCAGACAAATCTCCTGCTTCAAGCTTATCCCACCACCAACCATCTTCATCTTCCTCCTCCTCCTCTTTTCCTCATCCATCTGATAAAGGTCAGCCAAAGGACTGCCCTGAGCAGATGTATTCCCATAAATACATTGAAGCTCTAAGGGTGTTCCATCACTCTGCACCAAATATTCTTCATGAAAAACAGTACTTGACTCCAGAGATCTCCTTCTTGCCGTTTCATCACCTTTTCCCACAGCTGGGGCAGTCAGTTGAGCTGTTCTCCAACCAGGCACTGGCCAACATCTTCTCTGCTCAATATTCCATCCCACATATGCCTCACTCCATTTTTCAGAGTACAGCTTTTCCTCTGCATGGAGCCTTGATGCACCCAAACCAGCTTCACATTGCTTCTCCACTGTTGTCGCACCCAACAGATGTGACACTCAGGCACAGTCCGTCCTTGGTCCCTGTACACTGTCCAGGTTCTCCGTCACTCTCTTCTGCGTTCTTTCTGCCCCTTCAGACACAGCTTGCTCTCCAGTTCCCAAGTGACATTGGTGCTCATTTGCACCAACTCAAATCCAGCTTCGCTCCACCAGTAGGAAGCCCAACCTTCTCCTCAGTCACTGATCACGGCTCTGAGAACCAGTTACAAATTTTTGCTCACCCAAGCAGTCCTTCTGCATCAATCTCCATCTCTCAGTTTGTGGTGCCTGCACGTTCTGAGCCTGTGGTATCGCTTGTCGTCCCAGTTCGCATTGAGACTAACATGCCATCGTATGGAAGTGCTATGTACACCACTCTTTCTCAGATCCTAGTTACTCAGTCTCACTGCAACTCCTCTTCTATCATCTTGCCAAAATTTGATGATTATCGGACCAAAGGTACCTTGGTCTGCACTACCAATATCCATGGAATTGGTCTCGATTTAGCACAGATTATTGCCAATGAAAAAAAGTCCTTGTTCCAGTCTCCATATCTGAAGTTTCCATTATCACTATCAGAAACAAAAGCTTACATTCCTCTGGGGTCCCCATCCGAAAGTGCCTTGGGTCTCGAAGGAAGTTCGCTGAGCGTTGGAGGAAGCAAGCGGATGCTATCTCCAGCTGGGAGTTTGGAGCTTACAATGGAAACTCAGCAGCAAAAAAGGGTGAAGGAAGAAGAATTTTCTGAAACGGAGGAGAAGCTGGAAATTGTGACAGCATCTAGTGAAGAAGAGGAAGGAAAGAAGCACAATCAAAGGATAGCTAAGGCAAAACTGCCCTCTGCTGTATCTCGTGAATTGCTGCAATCCCAGGAAATTCAGGGAACAATACAGCTAGTATTACCCCATGCTGAGATCTTGAGCTTTGAAGCACAAGAGGAAATTAAGCTGTTGGCTGGGAAACGGCTCCAAAGTAAGGATTCTCCAGAAATGGTGGAGAAGGAGAGCCCCAAAGAAATACTGGAACCGCCCGCAGGAAATGGTCCAAGCTCAGCACTTTCTTCTGCGTCTGCGCAAATTACAAAAAAGTCTCACAGCAGTACTAGTATTAAGAAGGCATTTCCATTCCCCAGTCTCAATACAACTACTAATGTCAGTTGGTGCTATTTAAATTACATAAAGCCAAACCATATTCAGCAAGCTGACAGGAAGTCCTCGGTGTACACCAGCTGGTGCATTAGTTTGTACAGCCCTAACCTCCCTGGTATATCCACCAAAGCGGCTCTTTCACTCCTGTGCTCCAAGCAAAAGGTGAACAAAGAGACCTACACCATGGCAACAGCTCCATGCCCACAGACAGGGAAGATGGTCACCTCGAGCTCCAGGAAGCCCAAAATGTCTGAGGTAAGGACATTTGATTAACCTTTCATCCTCACCTATTTTGTGGGTAATTTTTTACACAGGTACTATTACTATTGGATTTTTCTGAAGCAATTTTGTACAAGCACACTTGTGTTGGTAAATATTTTCCCATCTAAAGGGCTGCCTAGAGTCAGTTCCCATCACTCCTTGATAGTATACCCAACAATGGTCTGCTGAAAGTCATGGTCTAGGTTTGCTGTCAGTATTTTCGAGCACCACCAGTATTGGCATATTTTAAAGCAAACTGTATGCCTATCTACTGAGTTGTGTTCACCTGTTTTATTTTAGAGTCCTAGACAATTGCCCCCAGTCTCCTGATGCACCAGACCTTGCCTTATGAAAGGAAACTGCCTCAGTGTGTTTCCAAGCAGCCCCAAAATCCACGCTAAAGCGGGTTCTGGATTAATTCGCTTATTGAGCCTGTCTGGATGGGCCCTCAGACTGAAGAAACACCAGCACAAATACCTTTATGGGGAAACATCTTCTGAGTACATTGCTGGTTTTAGGCTAATGGCTAGTCTCATCCCATGCAGCAGTACTTAGCAGCTAGGATAATATCTGGCAACTTTTATTTTAATGACAGAGGAGTTATTATACCTCATGATTCCAAGAAAAAGCTCTGTATGTTCCCCAGAGTCTGATATACATACTGGGGCAGGCTTCCTCATTCAATTTTGAGAATAGACATTAAGAAATAGTTTCTCACTTAAGCTATCCAAACACTTATGGCAGTTGCTAATGAGCAGATCAGGTGCTGGTGATTCAGTGTATTCATCTGTTACATTTCCAAAAAGACAATAAATTCAAAACCAAGCAGTTCAATACTTAAAAGTCTCTCAAAGCATTGATGAATCAAGTATAATGTAAGCAACATAAATAACAATTTTAAGATATTCATTTAGAGTGTTGGGATAAACCAATGGTTTCTCAACTTTGGAACTAATATTTTCCTTTGATTTTTTTTGCAGGTTATTTAGGTTTATATAAATGTTAGAGATGGTCACAGTTTGCTATTGAGTACCAAAGATTTTGAAATGTATATAAATTGTTGTAACCAGCTTGTAAGCAGTGTTTGGTTTTTGTCTCTCAGGAAGTTACGCTTCTCCAAAGTTTGTATGTTTGGCAACAGGCCTTTTGAGTAATAAATAATTCCTCTGATTTTTTGGCGGAGGTAGGTTCACCTGCTTTCGCTCCCTGCCAGTGAGGGTTGGAAAGATGTAAAGAAAATGGATAAGGAAGAGGAGAAAAGAGAGAAGGCTGAAGATGACATTCCCATATCCAAACCAGGGGAACCGGCCAGAATCAGGATCTTTGAAGGAGGGTGAGTGAGTTCCCTTGCAGCTCATCTTCCAAAGTGCTTGCTTGATGGAAAGGTTTCCTGAATGCATTGTTACATTGACTTCCTGCTGACTTTGATTGGGTCGGGCTTTCCATTGCTTCTTCCTCCCTCCATCACCATTGGGTTCTCTTGACGCTTTTAATCTTTATGACTGTGAATAGCAGCACTTAGTCTCTAGAACTAGACAGGAAACATGTATTTTATCTCTAAGTGATTTGCTTAATAGAACTGTGTTGTAAAGGTATTGTCAGAACTCAGATGCCTTAAAGAGCCAGACACAGTAATGTAAACAAATCAACAGTTTATTAAATCAAAGCAAACAAGACTCAGAGACACTTCCTTCAGTGTCTCTGGCCAAAACTCAAAGTTTGTAGCAATTTGTAGCTTAAAAAACAAACTAAGCAAATAAACCGGATTAAACTGGCAAAAAATCCAGATTAAACAAGAGTTCAAGCAAAATGCACCAAAATCACACAGTTCAAAGATAAAGCCAAAACAAGGCGCTGTGAAGAGAAGCTGTCGTCCAAAAGCAGTCCTAAGTCGAAGAAGTCCCAGCTGAAGATATTAAAGTCCAAGAGTCAGTGTCGTTGTCAGAAACAGTCTGTGGTCAAGGAGAGGGGAAATCTGCACTTACGAGAGTCCAAGCCGTTAGCACATGAAGAACACAGCAACCTGCAGTTCCAGGACCCAAGCCCAACAAGAGAAGCGGCAGCAACAAAGCCCAAGGCACGTATCCAACACTTTGCCTACTGCAAAGTTCTAAACTTTCAGTACCTTCCTTTATCCTACAACTCATCATCCGTTGATGATCTGCCCTCCGCCCTCTCCTCATCGCTGTCAGCTGTCTTACCCATTACAGCTGAGCGCCAACACCCGTCTCTCCAACTTTTCCACCTCTTGTCAAGACTTAAGTCTCCCAAAAGCTGGGAAAGCTCCAGGTCTGGACGGTATGGGAACAGAATATTATAAAAGTTTTAGAGAAGTATTGACTCCAAAATTATTAGAACTGTATAATGGAATAATGAAAGGAGATAAGATGCCAGAATCATGGAGGAAGTCATTAATAATATTAATACCAAAACCTGATAAAGATTTAACAGATCCAGGGTCATATAGGCCCATATCGTTAGTTAATCAGGATGCAAAGATTTTATCTGCTATAATTGCCAATAGAATGAGTAAATGCATGTACAAGTATATTAAAAAAGATCAGTGTGGGTTTGTAAAAGGACGACAAATGTTAAATTTGATAGGGAGAGTAATAAATAAAATTTGTGTGGCTCAAGAGAAGAAGATAAAAGTAGGGATATTATCATTAGACATTTTTAAAGCTTTTGATTGTGTGGAATGGGGGACACTAAGGGAGATTATGAATAAATTTGGAATGGGAAGTAAAATAAAAGGAATATTAGAACAATATTATTCAAGAAATTCAGTAGTTGTAACTATAAACGATGGAGAGACAAAAGAAATAAAAGTGACAAGGGGAACAAGACAAGGTTGCCCTCTATCACCAATTTTGTTTGCTATGGTGATAGAATTATTTGCAAATGCCATTAGGAAAGATAAGAATTTAGAAGGGCTAGGAGAAAAAGGAAAAACAGAAGGTGAATCTGTTTGCCGATGATACATTGTTATTTATTGAAAATGTAGTAAGTAAAATGGATAAAATAAAGGATCATTTAGAGATATTTGGGAAAACAACAGGCCTACAAGTTAATTGGAACAAGTCAGAAATGATGTTATTTAATTATACAAAGAAAGAAGAAAAAGACTTTATAGAACAGAGCAAGATGGGAATTAGAATTAAGAATAAATTAAAATACCTGGGAGTAATAATAACAAAGGATTTAAAAGAAATGGAAGAGGTAAATGTAGTAGCATTGAGAAAAGTTGTTCAAAAAACGTTAATAGAATATGAAAATATACATTTATCTTGGTTTGGAAAGATAGCATTAGTAAAAATGAAAATACTTCCAAAGATACATTTTATATTTAGGATGCTGCCACTTCAAATTACAGAAGAAGAGCTAAATAGATGGCAACAAATGATAAATAAATATTGTAATGGTAGTAAAAGAAATAGATTAAACAAACAGTTATGGTACAGATTGCAAAAAAGACTTAAGTCTCCCCATGAATATCTGGTATCCCCAGACTGCCAATCCCCAGAAAAACCCTCAAACATATCACTGGATGTGGGTTGCATGCACACATTCCTGACTTCTTGTACTTGAGTCCAATCCAGTGGTTCCCTTACATCCTCACTACTCCCAGACCCATTACTTCCAGTAAAGCCCATGAAATCCTCATCTTCAGTGGGAGCACTAAGTATGTCCCGGATCCTTTTCCTCTGACGTTCTTCGTCTAACTCCTGCTCTCGAGTAATCCGTTTGACACCTCTACTCCCATCTCCCTCCTCCTCCTCACACATTTCACTCTCTGAGAAACCTTCAAAAGAGTCTTCGTCTGTGGGAGACATAAGTATTTCCCGGATTCGCTTCCTTTGTTGTTCATCCTCTAGCACCTGAGCACCTTGTTTCCCTCCTCTACTACTCTCACTAGTAGTAGTATCATTGCCAGCAGACTCTACTACAACAGGCATGCTGTTGTATTAACCAGAGTTTGGAGTTATTGATTTAGACTGGATTCCCTTAAGCCTAGGTATAGAAAAGTGGCGGCTTGCATTTGCTCACATTTCTGCCTGAGTCCAGATAGTGTTGGAGTAGCAGTATATGACTGACTGAATGGGCAAATATTCATGTAGAATTTTGTCTGGCTATGCATGGGGCTTCTCCAACTATGCTGGCTGGGGAATTCTAGATGTCCAAAAAAGTAAGCTACTACAGTTCTCACCCACAGGATACTTAATGATAAAAATACTTTAGTTGTAGGTTGCCCTGTCTCCCCGGGGGGGGACGGGGGGGGGCTCAATATTTTTTTAGTTTGTATTTGTGTTTGAGTGAGAAAATTGGGTTGACTTTTCCATAATAATAATAATAATAATAATAATAATAATAATGACTTTTCAATAATAATAATAATGAGGAGGAGGAGGAGGGGTCAGTGAAAGCACTGTGACCTGACTCTTATCAAAGGAAAGTAACCACCTCCTTCTCTGAGTAGAGAGGTGACAAGGGAAAGCGTAGTCCATTGTGGGAGAGTCTGCGAGAAGCCCTGACTCCCCTTTCCATCTCAGTTGAGGAGCCATTTGTGAAATCTTTGGATACCTGAGCAGGATAGGTAGATTTGCTTATGGATTAGTCCTCTGACCATATCAACAATAAAACAATAAAAGACAAAAGACAAGTATATAAAGACACAACAAATGTGACAAATCCTATCCTACACTCCTGCAATAGTTAGCTAAAATACATTTAGGCACTTAAAACTTGATTTTTTTTTTCATGTCAGGAGTGACTTGAGAAACTGCAAGTTGCTTCTGGTGTGAGAGAATTGGCCGTCTGCAAGGACATTGCTCAGGGGACGCCCAGATGTTTTTGCCATCCTTGTGGGAGGCTTCTCTCATGTCCCCACATGGGGAGCTGGAGCTGACAGAGGGAGCTCATCCGCGCTCTCCCCGGATTTGAACCTGCAACCTGTCGGTCTTCAGTCCTGGCAGCACAAGGGTTACAGAACAATTAAAACACATGAACACAGCAAAAACACCACAAATACACATATTAAAACGTGCCTCTATAAAAGTTACACACAAAAACGCATCTCTATAAAATACATATTAAAATACACAAAATAGAGATTAGACAAAAGACACACATTTGAAATTCATGTTTCAAGATTGTTTGGGCAGGCCTGCCAGAAGGGATAGGTCTTTACATGGTTTTTAAATTCTGACAGCTGATTCACCAAACTTAAATAATAAGTTTGATAAAATCGGATTACATTAAATTACAAATAAGTTCATTGCTATACTTCAGGAAATAAAGCCCGACTGCTCATTGGAGGGGAAGGATATTAGAAGTATTAGATGATATGTAGTCCTAGGAGTCATTCAGCTGGCATGTTTGTTCCCTCCTCAGAAATGTTTACTTGTTATGTTGTGTGCAAAAACCGGTCAATATGGAAAAGCCACAGTTGTTGGAATATTGGCCTTTTTCATCACAAAATTATGTAACACCCTTTGCTGTCATAGCAACAATTTCTAAATGTCTCCTAATCCACAAGCATATGTTTTCTAGGTGGTGACAACCATTGCTCTTTCCCTGGCAGAGTCAGAAGAGTCAGGATTATGCGATATATCATGAAGAATAGGCATTGGTTGGCTCTGCATAGCACTCCCCACTCGCCCCCCCCCCCATATGTGTCACTTGAGCTGCTGAAAGCCATTAATGTGAAGGGTCACATCTGGAATCATGAATCTGATTCACAAACTGTGCCTCCAATTCATACAGCTTCTGGCTAGATTGCAGATGGTCCTGTCAAGGCAAATGCCTTTTCAGCAAGGCGTCATTCCTTTGTATCTGTCCTTAGCAAATGGAAAAAAGAGCAGATTTTAGAATAGAATTCCATGCCTTTGAAAAATGTACACATTGCAATATATCCAGTCTTTTCCATGGTGGTGGGTTTGAATGATCCTGAGAGGTAAGATGCAATGCTGTCCAATAAATCAATCCTGTTGGTGAGGGCTTCCATGTCAGACAGGGAAAACTTTGGAAATGCATGTAGAAAACACATGCATTAAATGCACGTAGAAAACACATGCATTAAAACCCAAGAGGAAGCAGGTTAAAAGGAGGGGTGGGTGACTAAATGGCGTTTAGTCAGTGCAGGATGAATCAGGAGGAATTGGGATAAGGACTGAAAAACGTGTTTAAAAGGTGCCCTTTAAACACGATTCTTCCTGAGAAACACGCACCTTTTCATACCTGTGTATCTCACCAGTCATGCAAAACACATGCTTTCCTCCCCCCGCCCCCACTGTGTGGATTCCTCCAGAGCAGGTACATTCCTGAAAAGCCTGA